CCAATCAAGGACACCAACTGGGCGAGTACTGGCAGGTTGACTTCACCCACATATCCACCCATAAAAGCTCCCTTATCTCTTACGACACCTTTAAGGATGGATGGAGGCATTTTCCCACCACCAGGGAAACAGCAGATGTCATGACTCAGGCACTCCTGGAATGCACCATCCTCCGATCTCCTGGGGCATCAACGCTGATACCACCCCTCCAGGCTCAAGCAGGCATCTATCCAGCTACTGGAACCTGGTTTTCCAAGATGTCCCAATGAAGGGCACATCTGCTCTTGGGTCTTGCTCATTCATCTTTGTCACTCACCCTGGCCTCTTCTGTACAACCAGGGCACATCTCCGTTCCTTCTTTCTGGGAGTCTTAACTCTTCCCATGGGTAGTCCAACTCATAGGGCCGGTGTTACTATCTATTTACTTGCCTAGCAACCTGCCTTCTCTGCCTCCTCAAGAACTAGTTTCCTGAGGTCTCCAGGATGGCAGTTAACCGAATGCTTCTTCACTCATACCTCCCACTGAACATGAACCCACCCACTCCCTCCCCACATTGTCCCTTGCCAACAGGAAGTAGCCAGACTTGAACCAGCACCCATATGTACCCCAAAAGGTTGAGATGTTGGGACTCTCACTCTGGTCTCACTTCTCCATTCTAGACCCCACTAGATGTTTAGCTGGGAACTCCACCTCCGCCCCACCTCTCTCTCTCCAGACCCTGCCTTTAGAAAGCCCCCATTGGCAGCTCCTCCCCCTGAGATACTGGGGGCCACGCCTACAGGGTATTTAAGACCCAGTCCAGGGACTCGCCAAGTGATTTCTCTCCTGCCTTTACTGAGAGTCACCCAGGAGTTGCTTTGCTCAGTTTATTAAACCTGGCTGTATTAATTTGGTTTATTGCATGGGAAAAGAAACCCCCAAATGGGGATTTTCAAAATACTCATCACTAACTAGCTCTTAAAACTTAAATTAACCCATTCCTATTCATTTACTTTCTTCCTCCTGGCTTTATTACCTCATCTCCATATTGCCCATCCTGCTTGCTCTGTATCTCCTGGTGTCTCTACCTTCTTCCCAGTGTTCTCTCTGCCTTGAACATCCTGCCTAGCTATTAGCTGTTTAGCTTTTTATTAAACCAATCACAGTGGCACATTTTCACGCAACGTAAAGGAATATTCCACAGCACTCCTCTGTTGTGTGGTATTTTGTTTGTATTATAACAAATAAAGCTTGCCTGGAGATCAGAAAGTGGAGCTAGCCACTAGTGTTCCAGAGGTCTGGAGTTCGGTACAGACAGGAGACAGGAAATCATAAGGTGGGGTGTAGACAGGATCTCGGCCCCTTTCGGTCTGAGATTTGGGAGAGGTAATAAGTGAGTGGGGCTGCTCCTTTGCTTCTCTGATCTTTCAGCTTTTACTCTGCTATCTGACTCTGGGTTTTTACTGATAAGACTAATTACGATCATGCTTCACTAATCTGTGAGTCTCCAGAATGGGACTCAAAGGGTTGGAGGTGTCTCTAGGAATTCCTTGCATCAAAAGTCTGTAAAATTAGAGGAAGAGTCACACAATCTGATCAAATGTGCAGTACAGATGATTTATACCTTTTCAGACACTGAGACCCAGACGGCTTTCCTGGTATGCACCGTCCATGATGGCATCGTTTTGTTTGTTCTCACCAGTCATTTGACCTCCATCTTTTTTTGTATGTTTTTTATTTTAGAAGCTCTCTGATTTATATCAACCCCCAATTCCCTTGCCCTCCCATCTCTCATGCTCCCCACCAACCCCCCAGCCCACCCCCACTCACTCCCCAAGGATAGTGAGGCCCTCCACAGGGGATCATCAAAGTCTGTCACATCATTTGGGGGAGGACCTAGACCCTCTTTCTTGTATCTGGGCTGCAATAGTATCTCTCCATAGGGAATGGGCTCCCAAAGTCCATTTGTGCACTAGGGATAAACACTGGCTCACTGTTAGAGGTCCCATAGACTGCTCTGGCCTCCTAGCTGGCACCCACATTCACAGGGCTTGGTTTCAGTCCAATCTGGTTCCCAGCTTCACCACTAGGATCCCTGTGCTCTCACTAGGTCAGGTCCACTGCTTCTGAGGGTTCCTCCAGCACCATTTTGGCTCCTTTGCTCATCCCTCCTCCCTCTCTGCAACTGGATTCCAGAAGTGTGGCTCAGTGTTTAGCTGTGGGTGCCCGTTTCTGCTTCGATCAGCTACTGGATGAAGGCTCTGAGAATGACAGCCAAGATAGTCATTAATCTCATTATAGGGGAAGGGCATCAAAGGCAGCCTAGATTCTTAGTTGGGGTCATCCCTGTGGATCCCCTAACATTTCCCCTGTTCCAGACCTCTCTCCAAACCTGTACTGACTCCCTTTATCAAGGCATCTCCTTTCTTGCCCTCCCCTATTCCTCCTGTCTCAGTCCTCCTGTTCTCTTCTGTTTGCCTCCCCTCTCCCCTTCACACTTTCCTCCCCTCACCCCCCCATGCTCCCAATTTGCTCAGGAGTTCTTGTCCCCCTCCCCTTTTTTCAGGGGATTCAGGGGACCATTCGTTCTTCTCTTAGGGTCCTCTTTGTTTCCTAGTTTCTCTGGTGGTGTGGATTGTAGGCTGGTAGTCCTTTGCTCTATGTCTAATATGCATATATAAGTGAGTAGATACCCTGCTTGTCTTTCTGTGATTGGGTTACCTCACTCAGGATGTTTTCTTCCAGTTCCATACATTTGCCTGTGAATTTCAAGTTCCATTGTTTTTTTTCCGAGGAGTAATACTCCATTGTATAAATGTACCACCTTTTCTCCATCCATTCTTCAGTTGCAGGGTATCTAGGTTGCTTTCAGGTTCTGGCTATTACAAACAATGTTGCTATGAGCATAGTTGAACACATGTCCTTGTTGTATGAATGTGAATTCTTTGGGTATATGCCCAAGAAAGGAATTGCTGGATCTTGAGGTAGACTGATTCCATTTTCCCGAGAAGCCGCCAGACTGATTTCAAAAGTGGTTGTACAAGTTTGCACTTCCACCAGCAGTGGAAGAGTGATCCTCTTTCTCTACATCCTCTCCAGCATAAACTGTCTTTGGTGTTTTTGCTTTTGGCCATTCTGGTTGGTGTAAGATAGAATCTCAGAGTTGTTTTGAGTTGCATTTCCCTGATGGCTAAGGATGTTGAGCACTTTCTTAAGTGTCTTTCAGCCATTTTAGATTCCTCTATTGAGAACCCTCTATTTAGTTCTGCACCTCTCTTTTTTTTTTTTTAGATTTATTTATTTATTATATATACAGTGTTCTGCCCACATGTATGCCTGCAGGCCAGAAGAGGGCACCAGACCAAATTATAGATGGTCCTGAGCCATCATTTTGTTGCTAGGAGTTGAACTCAGGACCGCTGGAAGAGCAGTCAGTGCTCTTAACCGCTGAGTCATCTCTCCAGCCCTGCACCTCTCTTTTTAATTGGATTGTTTGGTGTTTTAGTGGCTAGGTTCTTGAGTTCATTGCGTATTTTGGAATTCAGCCCTCTGTCATTTGTGGGGTTGGTGAAGATCTTTTCCCATCCTGTGGGCTGCCTTTTTGTCTTGATGACTGTGTCCTTCACCTTACAGAAGCTTCTCAGTTTCAGGAGGTCCCATTTATTAATTGTTGATCTCAGTATCTGTGTTATGTTTAGGAAGTGGTCTCCTGTACCAATTCATTCAAGGGCCCCTCCTGCTTTCTCTTCTATGAGGTTCAGTGTGGCTGGGTTTATGTTGAGGTCTTTGATCCATTTGGTCTTAAGTTTTGAGCATGGCAATAGATATGGCTCTATCTACAATCTTCTACATGTTCACATCCAGCACACGGGTGGAAAGCACGGCCTATGGCCCAGGCAGTGGGACAGGGACTGACTGCATGGCCTGTGACCCCACACTGAGACAGGGGTCTGTACAAAGGTGGGAGGCTTACGGGGCATGGCTGACTAGCAGTCTTGCTGGGAAACAAAGGAAAAGTAGCGAGCTTCCAGGTTTAGTGAGAGACCCTGTATCAAAGGAGCAAGGGGGAGAGCAATAGAGAAAGACACCCAATATCCTCTGGCCTTTACAGGGTGTGCACACATGCATGCACCTGTCTATGCATGCACACACACCCGTATACCACTCACATACATTTTAAAAAATCCATAAAGGAGCTGCAAATGCAACTTAGCTTGCTGCCTGGGGTGAACCCTAGCATAGGGTGGTGTGTGTGTGTGTGTATTCAGAGGAGACAAGCAGGACGCAAGGTCTATGGCCAGTTAGCCCTTTACCACCCCCCCCCCCCCCGTCAATCATGCTATGGTTGTTGACTTATTCCCAGAACATGTGGTTGTCTTAGGACTAGAAGACCCCACTTTTCTTCTCCGCCCCCCCTAATTTTAGAGGACTTCTTACTCTGCAGCTCATCCCATGACTGACTCCGAACCCTCAGTGTTGTGACAGTAGATGTGTGGTAGTAGATGGATTTTAGTCCATGTCTATTAGATGTCCTGGGCTCCGTAACCCTGGCACAGTGCTGCAAATCACAGATTGCTATGGATTCCTAGAACATGGCTAGGAGCCAGGACTGTCTCTCTTTTGTGTGTACTTCCCTAACACTTCAGCTATAGGTCAGTGTGACCCCTCAAGAGCAACCCTAAAATATGATCTTGGCGTGTGCATGTGTGTGTATGTGTGTGTGGGGGATCCATGAGTTCAGTGCTGAGTTTAGACCACTGCACAAAAATAAAATTTCTCTTTCAGATGTCATTTGAACATCTAAATTTATAGTGTGAATGATTTCCAGAGAGCAGTTCTGGCTCTCTTGCTGGTAGTTTGGTGCAGTGTGAAATCACTTTCTTCAGAGAGGTTGGAAGTAGGGCATTGGCTCTGTGTGTGTGTGTGTGTGTGTGTGTGTGTGTGTGTGTGTGTGCTTTCCCAGATCTACTAGTTCTAATCTTCCTGCCTCCACCTCCATGAGTGCTGAGATTACAAGCAAGCACCATGATTCCATCCCGGTTTACCCATCTGGGTTTACAAGGTGTAGGGTTTCTGCATGCAAAGCAAACACTCCACACCACACCCACAGCCCCATCCTGTCTCAGAGAGGGGGAGTGAAAGGTGGGGAGAATGAGGAAGTGTCCCCAAGAATTGGCGGGAGCTCCTAAGGCGTGGAGCAGTGAGGCAGCAGCCAATAGCTAATGATTAACTCAGCACCAACAAACATTTCTAGCTGGGAATGAGTCACTTCTGTTCTTGGGGTAAAGCTTTCGCTTAGCTATTTCAGTTGCGAGTTTTTGTTCCTCCTGGTGAAGGCTGGAGCCTGCACTTCTGCGGCGGGGCCCTTGACAGACTCTCCTTTCCTGAACTCGGGTGATCAGGTTTTAAAACCTGGCTTCTTGGAATCGCTGGTAAAGCGTGGCCGGGCCGCGCGGGAACAGGAAGTGAGCGCAGTCCTGGGGCCACAGGCGCGGCGTGGAGTCTCCGAAAGCAAAAGCTAGCAGCGGCTTGCTGCGGGCCTGGTCCCAGGAGCCGCTCACCCGGGGACCCAGAGCTGTGATCGGAGAACCCTGGAGCTGTGGCCGGCGAGCCCCGGAGCTGTGATTGGCGAGCGGGGACTCTGCTAATAGGTGAGTACAGCGCTGAGGCCTCGGTCGACTCCCACCAGCCGGCCACGCGGATGCTGCTTGGGTGGCTGTCTCGCGTGCCACCTCCCCAAACACAGCCACTGAGGTGCCTCCCTCGCCGGCAGGACCCTCAGTGCCTTTCTTGTCACCTCTCCAGAAAACTTCATACAACTTCTTAGGCTTACTTTCTTTTTCAGCCTGGAGCTGAGTTAATCATTCGGTGACATCACCTTGTAGAGTCCTCCCGCCTCTGCTGCGTGTCCTCCCGCGTTTTTTGCTCCTCTCAACTCTTACAAGACACCTCCCAACCCTAATACCCCCAAACTCTCTCTCCATTTCTCCCCTCCCCCAGCCTTCCTGCCCCACCCCCCAACTTCCTTGAACTTTTAAACTTCGGATTTTCCAACTCTGCACTTAAAACAGCAACACAGCAACACACCCCTATGACCTGTAATGTCTCAACACGCCTTAAGCAGTTACAACAGTAGCTGGCTTTAAGTACCAGTAGGTGTTGGTAATTATCACATTGTCACATTTCTATTTCTTACTTTTTTTTTTTTTAAAGGGAGCCCTCCATGTTCTTTCTGCTTGGTTAGGTCTCAGTCTCTCTCTTTACCACAGGATTTATTGCCGGGCAATGGTGGCTCATGCCTTTGATCCCAGCACTCTGGAGGCTGGTGGATGGCAGTGAGTTCGAGGCCAGCCTGGTCTACAGAGCGAGTTCCAGGACAGCCTCCAAAACAATACAGAGAAACCCTGTCTGGAAAAACAAAACAAAACAGAAACTTCTTTCTTTTTTTTTAATGTCTATGAGTTTTTTGCATGCATGCATGTATGTGCACTTGGTGTGTGTGGTGCAGATCCCTTAGAATTGGAGTTACAGTTTTAAGCCACCATGTAGGTGCTGGGAAAGGCACTGCAAGGTTGGTGAGTGCCCTTAAACTGATGGGCCATCTCTCCAGCCCCAGCAAATCCGTTTTTATAAATAGGGCCGTGATCAAATTAGAATGATTAACACTCATTTCTTACAAATCCTATTTAAATAGACAAAAGAGCTCGTATGGGGACACAGGGGTTGCCGGTCTTGGTTGTGTGTCTGCTTTGTGAAGGCTCAGGAGGGAGAAGATGACCCCATAACACCAGGCCATTCAACCGGGGTTTGCTTTTGTCCACTAATGCCACAACAAGAAAATCAAACCTGTTTGTGGATAAATCCACTCCAGGAACTAATATGGCTTCTCCAGCAGCCTGTCTAGTTTTTTGAAGCTTCCAGCTTGAAAATTTCTAAAAGGAAATTGGGCATCTTCTTGCTTTATTCAGCATTTCCCCGGCTTACTATGCTGTCCTATGCTTTCGTGGACTTGGTGCCCATTAGGGAACTTCATGTTCATAGCCATTGCCCCTTTGCAGAGTTTCTTTTCATTGATGAGTTTTCAGGTAGTTGTATGGTTCAGTTATCACCTTGAAAGCTGCAGTTGCTGCCCTCAGGAAGCTCATGGTCTTGGACAGGAAGTTCTCAGGAATGAATGAATGGGCCAGAACTGGGGTAGAGGTTGTATAGGATTCGGGGAAACCATAGCAAGTCCTGGAGTGGATTGAGACACAAACAGGATTTGATTCTGTTACTGTGGTCTTGCCCGGGTTCTTGGGCAGAATCAAATGCCAGTTAAAGATACTGATATCATGGGGTCACCTTTACCCAGCCCTCCTGGATGCAGAGGAGCTTTCAGACCTCTCTCATTCATAGTCTCAGCTGTGAAGTTGGGGCTCTTTACTGTGAAAACTTACATTCTTTATTAGGTAGCAGAAAACACAGTTTCAGAGTTCTTCTTTTAACACTAGAAATCATTTTAACCAATTCACAGCTGGGGGCTTATGTGTTTGTTCATGCAGTGAAGGGCCAGGGTTTGTCTTTGGTGAGATTGCTGTAGGAAGCCTTTGGTTTTAGAGTTCTTTAAAAAGCTGTAACTGGAAACTATTGAGCTGGGACCAAAGTCAGCATCCGTGTGTAACAGTTAGTTGTGGAAGTTAGAAGACCCTCAAAGCTCAGGACTTCAGTCCCATCAGAGGTGTTACCAGTAATTACAGAGTGAAAGCATTGCACTCATAATGGCTAACTCAGAAAAGCTTTAAAACCATAAAAAATAGGAGCCCAGCAGTGGTGGTGTATGCCTTTAATCCAGTACTGGGGAGGCAGAGGTAGGCAGATCTCTGTGAGTTAAAAGGCCAGCCTGATCTACTGAGTGAGTTCCAGGACAGTCAGAGCTGTTACTTATAGAAATCCTGTCTTGAAAATCCATAAATAAATAAATAGATAGATAGATAAAAAATTAAAAAATCATGAAATAGGGAAAAAAAGCCCTGAAATATAAAAAGGGCGGTAACAATGACACTGGCATGTTCCTTGGGCCCACTTGCTTGGACATCCTTTTTTACCCGTTCACCTTTAAGGCAGTGTTTGTTTTCTTTGGTGATGAAGTACATTTTTTTTTTTGTAGGCAACAAATAGATGGATCCTGGTTTGGGTTTGTTTGTTTTGCTTTTGTTTGTTTGTTTTAATCTAATCTGAAGTCTGTGTCTTTTAATTGTGATACTGGGACCACTATTATTCAGAATTATTATTGATAGATGTTGCTCAACAAGTATGCCCAACAGTTGCCAAATGAGACTTCATGAAACTAAAAGGCTTAGTATAATGAAGGAAATGTTAACTGGGCAAAGAGACAGTCTAAAGAATGGGAGAAAAATCTTTACACACTATATCTGGCAAAGCATTGGCATCCAGACTATTCAAAGAACTAAAACAGTAAGCAATATGAATTGAAAGAACTCAATTAATAAATGAGCTAATGGCATGAACAGGCGGTTCTCAAAAGATGAAATACAGGTTCCGGGGGTTGGCTGAGGGGGCAAAGGCCCTTGCCATCAAGCCAGACAACCTTAGTTCTATCCCCAGAACACAAACCATGGAAGAGGACGGACTTTGGCTTCCACAAGTGGCAAGGATGCTCCTCACTCTCAAATAAATAAGCAAACAAGTGGTTAGAAAAATACAAATAGTTAAAATCAATGAAAAAATGCTCCATTTTACTGGCCATCAGAGAAGTGTGAATTAAAGATTCTGTTGTATCCCTTTCAGAACAGCAGTCATTAAGATAACAAATAAAAATAAACGCTCTAAAAAATTACATAAAAGGTACCCTTCTACCCTTCTGATGGGAATGTAAGCTGGCTAGCCTATGGAAAATCAATATTGAGGTTGTTCCAAAAATTAACTATAGATTTTCCATGTGATCCAGCTGTAGGTATGCACAGGACTCTAAGTGAGACATTTACATATCCATAGTTATTCACAATAGCTAAATTATGGAACCAACCCAACCATTAAAAACAGAGGGATGGCGGGGGGTTGGTAACTCACGCCTTTAATCCCAGCACTTGGGAGGCAGAGGCAGGTGGATCTCTGTGAGTTAGAGACCAGCCTGGTCTACAGGGCAAGTTCCAGGACAGCCTCCAAAGCAATACAGAGAAACCCTGTCTCCAACCCCCCCCAAAAGAAAACCCCAGAGGGATGAGGAAAATGTTGCATTTTACACACACACACACACACACACACACTCACCCACATGCACACAAACAGAAATTTTCAGCCACAAAGAACAAGAGCATTCAATTGCTTATTTAGATATTTAAAATCTTGCATAAAAAATAAAATCCACCTGGGCAGTGGCAGCGCACGCCTTTAGTCCCAGCACTTGGGAGGCAGAGGCAGGTGGATCCCAATGTTTGAGGCCAGCCGGGTCTACAGATGCAGTTCCAGGACAGCCAGGCTACACAGAGAAACCCTGTCTCCAAATACCAAAATCAATTATCAATCAATCAAACAAACAAACAAATAAGAAAGACAAAAAAAGAGACAGTTATTATTTGCAGGACAATGGACAAAAACAGATAATCATATTAGGTAAACTGAGCCAATCTCAGAAAGACAAATGCCGTTTGCTTTTATCATTTGAGGTTCCTAGATTCTATATAATGACATAAACTCGTATGACATGAACGTAAAAGTGAAACTGTCTTGAGCCTGGGCGACACAGGGACTAACAGGCAGTGAGGAGGAGTATAAAGGGAGTATGTGCCGCGTACCCGAGGTCAGTCTTCCTGCCGCCTTGTGTCTACCCCGCCTGTGTCAGGAGAGCAGGAAGTACGAAAGGGCTGCCCTCCAGGTCTCGGTTTCCCTCCGCCTGGCACACACCCCAGAGAAGGGGCTTGGGAGCCAGGTGTCGTGGTGAAGACCTCCTCGCGTTTGTTTCTGATAAGGTCAGTTGGATCATGATTCTAGAACTTTCTGGGCTTCTGCGTGGGATCTGGAGTCCACATGGCTGTAGAGGAACTTAGGGTTTGATTCTGGAAGGGAAGCTGGAAGCTTTATCTATGTGGGTAGCAGTCCGCTGCCCTCTGGGAGTCTTCTGCCACCCCACCCCACCCCCATCGATGTCCTTCTGGGTGTTTCTGGAAGGTAGGAAGTACAGCCGTCTATTTGAAGGCACCCTCCTTGAACAGAAACCACAATTTAAAATTTTCAACTGACTCAGCTGCTCCATTTCCTGATCTACTTACCCCCCCTACACATTTTCTGATACGCACATGCGTACCCCAAACACAAACAGTCTTAGAATATGAATATAAAGAAATATACACACACACATTTTGCAGTCCACCGAGTTACCTCTGCAGCCTATCATTTCTATGAAAAAAGAAACAGAACCGTCCACAGAACGAAACAATAAGGAAGCACAGATTAAAAACTCAGAAATCTGTTCCGGTGGCGAGGTTAGGCGTCTTACAAGGGAAGTTACGACTTAACATTTAATTAGAAAATGATGGGGTTGGCTGTACATTTTATTGAGGTTTGACTGCCTTTGCTGGCGTGTGTGGAACACCTGCCTGCGGAGGCTTGGGTAGCATCTAGGGGAGGTAGAGCTTCGTCAGAGCCCCCTCTC